CCCCTGAGTTCCCATAGAAAGAACAAACCAGTCTCACTCCAGCCAAGCATAACCCCATTACTCATTGCAAGACATTGTGTTTAAATCGTTCCTTTTGTGTTGCTAAAGGTCCCCCCTTGCTTCCTGTACCAAAAGCTGACACCCTGACAAATTATTGGAAACCCCTTTACTGCAGTGCCTTTTCCTTTGTGGTTACTGAGCATAAAGTGAGAGAAGAACTGAGGGTCAGGGCTGCAGTTTGGCTCTTACATGGGTGAGACGCTGCAACTGTAGCTGCTGGCCAGCTAATAAAGGCTCCAAAANTAAAGTGAGAGAAGAACTGAGGGTCAGGGCTGCAGTTTGGCTCTTACATGGGTGAGACGCTGCAACTGTAGCTGCTGGCCAGCTAATAAAGCTCCAAAATTCAAACACAAACTCTGGTGATCATCTGTTGCGGGTCCCCCCAGAACAAGGAGGTGTGCTACACTTCAAAAGAACGACTTAAGTTTTATATTTATATAAACAGAAATCCAGGGTACATGTGTGAGAATGGATATTAAGAGTGTGGGATCATTGTGGAAGAAACATAAAGTTGGATCAGGCCAAAATTATCAATGTCTGGCATATTATAGGCCCCTAGGAGGGGAAGGATCTGGCTGCAATATATGTTACACTGTCAGTCTCCAGAGTAAATCTGGAACCCTGATTCAAAGAGCCATGTTCTTTTTTCCTCTCACAGCTAGTAAGTATCCCTCCTTAAGCAGAAAGGGGATTTGAAAAGGACAGATAGGGGAAGTTTGTTCTTTATTCAACAGTGGGTAAAGATGAGGTACTCAGTAAATTATTGGATTTTTTTCTTTTTTCCTATATAATCATTTTTCAATATTTACCTTTTTTCTTCTTCTCTAGCCATCTCTTCTTCTTTAGCTATTTGTTTCCCCCTAATCCCTGTGCACACATGCATGTGCGCACACACACACCCATGACCCATAGATCAAGGCCAAGGTCTTAGTCCTTCACTCTAAAGTCCATTACCAGAGTGCTCCAGGCTAGTTTAATTTCCTTCTTTCATGGTCTCATATTTAAATTTATTCCTTGTATTTGATCAAAGCTTAAAGCAGCTCTCTTCTCCCACTTGTCCTTTATATGTTTTAAGGCCCACCCTCAAGCTGTGATACAAGAATGCAAACTTTCTTTTCAACACATGGTCTTCCATCTTTCCTATTAGTTTTCCCAGATGACCTCAGAGACCTACTGGATTTCCTGGCCCTATGCTCACAGACATGGAATTTCTTCAATTATGTGCATGGATTGGATGCATGACTCAATACATTACTTGCTATTCTTACAACATCTTACTGTTTGTTTTTCTTCAACAAATGTTCATTCAGCCAAAACCTATTGAAATTAGTCAATAGCACTGTGATGTGGATATAAAAGGAATAAAGTACTATTTCAACCTAGGAGGAGCTCATAGATTAGAAAGCACAGGCAGTATGTAAACATGTATATTATAACTTGATGTGAAGCAAAACAAACTTCGTCTGGGGGAGTTGATAAAAGGTCTCAGAGGATGTGACATTTCTATTAATCTTGAGATCTAAGTAGGAGTTTGCCAATCAGAGGACAGGGTGAGAGTGAGGGTAAGGGCAGAATAGAGCATCTAAGAAAATTGAGTGTGCAGAGGCTCTGAAAATACTGAGGAAGATACTGACATGTTTGGGAAGATCCGATGGGTTCAGTGTAGTTGGATGTGTGTTGGATTGAGTGGCAGAGATTGAAGTAGAGAGGACTGAATTTTATTTTAGGGGCAGGGAGGGAGGGACACTTTAATCAGGGGAGTTTAACAATCAAGTTTGTCTCTTACATGTAACCTAGTCACATGGACTCATGTTTTGGAGTCTGAAAGGGGTGTGCTCTGCATGCTTAATCAGAGGTGCTCAGGGTAGCCTCTCAGTAGAGACATTGATTTTTTTTCCAGGTCTAGAAACAGCATGTTTTGAGTATATCCAGGGCTACTTAGTTTGATCCCAGTGCCCACTTGTGCTAATTCACTTACTCTGTTTATTACTGCAACACTGTCCTTCAAATGCTGTCTCTCCTTGGCCAGGGTTGGACATATACTGACAGTCTTTGTCTCTTTGAACCTTATTTTTCTGTTTTGAGACTTCCTTTTTTTAGTTTTGTTCGCCGAGTCCTTAAACGCACTGCTGACGTTTTGGCCCATCCCATTCTACGTTTAAACGCTCGGACCGGGACAGCACCAGTGGCCACACCCACTCAAGAAGTTGCGCATCTGGGAAGTTTGTCTCCACCAGCGAGCCGTACCGACCGTAGTAGCGCGCAAGCGCAGTTTCCGGCTCCCAGCGGCGTGTTACTCTTTCACGGGGTTCCCAGCTTCCGGGTAGGTGGGTGCCGGCGCTCCACCGTCCGCCTCTCACCGCGGCTTTCCTTGTGCCCGCGGACACTCGCCCCGCAGCCCCCCTGCTCCCGGAGCTGCTGCTGTGGGTCGCACGCCTCCACCGGCGACAGACCCATGGCCGAGCGTGGGGAACTTGACCTGACCGGCGCCAAACAGAACACCGGAGTGTGGCTGGTCAAGGTATGTTCGCTCTCCTCTCACTTGCGCTCCTCTTAGATTAGTACTTTACGTTACTTGAGACCTCCACGCTTCGTGTACCTTTTAAAGTTCTGTACCGTCACCTTCCAATATCTTGAGAGGCATGACTCATTGTTATGCTTATTTGCAGACGAAGAGATTAGTTCAGGGAACCACAGTGTATTTCAGCCAGAGTCCGAACCTGCCTGGAGTGGATTTCCATTCCCCACGACCTGTTTTTTGTGGGGCCCTGTCTTGGTGTCCCCATTTGAGCGGTGCATTTTGCTCCAGACTGAAGAATTTCCATTGGTAAAACTGATTTTAGTCATGAGCCTGTAAAGGAAGTGGAGAGTGTCTGCTTCCTGTACAATTTCTCCGCCAGAAAGTAGAACTGATCGCTGCGTACCCTTGAAGCGTTCTCTTGGGTTGATGGCCCTTCGTGGGTCTCAGGAGAGCTGAGAAAGCTCTGAGCTCATGGAAGAAGAGGCCATTGGATTGGAGGGTTCTTTTAGAACACGACTGGGTCTCCTGAAACAGACTGTCAAAAGAAAGTTTTTTTGTAAAGAGAGCAGTCTTGGTTAGCTCTTAGCACAGTATTTGTGTCTTACTGTTTTCAGATCGCCGATTTTTGTTTCTTATGAGTTACATAAAATATGTTTGTTCAAAATGTGATTATGAGTCTTTGAACCTTAAGTAAAATGGTTTGTTAAATTTTGAAAAACTTTTATCACATGGCTGGGTTATGAAGTAAATCTGAAAGGCCCTTCCTTTCCACCTCTCTAAAATAGCTCATCATTCACTACTATGTCAAACCTGCCTTATATTATTCTTCAAAGCACTTTTCACAGTCTGAAGTGATTCTGTGTTCATGTGTTCAGTTGGTTACCTCCCTCTCCCCAGTGCTTGCACACCTACGGGCATACGCAGTCACATTCCATGAGCACCTGTCAAACCCAGAATTGTGTTTGGCACATGGTGATTGCTCAACAGGTATGTGTTGAATGAATGAATGAATGAATGTCTTACTCCTCAACTGTAGCCTTAGTTTCTGGTACTCACTTGACTTAACACAGCTATATCATCAGTATGACTTGAAAAGATGGAGCAAATGAACATTTCTCCTCTGTGCTAAATGGAGGAGAAACATTAGGGAGGAGATCTCCCTTGCAGACTGAAAGAAAGAGCTTGAAAAAAATGGTAGAACTTGAGATGATGCATTTGTGATTGGAGCACAATAAATGCTCAGTAAATGTTTGACTTACAGGATTTGCATGGGCAGACAGAGGCATAGCATAGTATACCATGGAGAGTGGAACAAACATACAACACTGAAATGCATATTAACGTGGTGTGTCCTGGAAAACAAAGAGGAGATTATTATGCCTAGAGCAGAGGGGCTGTGTAAAAAAAGGTTGGGACCACATACTTATATTGTGAAATGGGAATGTCTTTAATCTATAGAAAGTGAGGAACCTTTTGGAGGGTTTTGAGTAAGGCAGGGATGCAAATGTTTCAGGAAAAAAATTAAACTTGAGGGGAAGATAAGCAGAGACAAAATTAGGAAATTATCATAGACTCATAGGATGTGACAGTGAAGTCTGAGAAGTTAGGGAAATTTTTTCAGTAAGTTGTTAGGATTTGGTGATTGATGAGAATGTGGAAGAATGTAATGAATCTAAAGTGAAGAAGTTAAAAAAAAATCTCATATAGCCATTTGAAAACATTTTATCTCTTTAAAAAGAACTCGAGCCAGTGATTTGTTTTTGTTTTATAAAGGTAATTGTAATGTTTCATTATTTATTCTTTGCACTATCATTGTTTCCTCACATCAACTTGGCATTCAGCATTTCTTTTTCTAATCTTATGTATCAGAGAAAATATATGACAGGATTGCAAATCTTTCCAGGATGTGAAAGGACTTGCTTACCAGTTCTTGTCTTCTTTCAACCTTATCTCTAAGAGGACAGGAATTGCTAGCAAACACTTTTTCTTCTAAAATCCATTTTTGTTCCCCCTTTATTTGACAACTTTTATTTCTGCTCTACTTAAAGGAGTTCTAATAGGCAATGGGTTTGATTTGCACACCTGTTAGATAGTTTGTACTTGTTTTATTTGCGCTGATGTTAATATCCATTGTGATTTTCATGCCTGTATCTTGAGCATACTTGGATTTTCATCTCTGAATTATAGGAATAATTTATATGAGTGAATCAAATTGTTTTTTGTTTTTTGTTTAAAATATGTCTTTATTGATTTCAGAGAGAGGAAAGGAGGGGGAGAGAGAGAGATAGAAACATCAATGATGAGAGAGTCATTGATCGGCTGCAGCCTGCAACCTAGGCATGTGCCCTGACCGGGAATCGAACCCCGATTGCCTGGATCCTAGGTCGACGCTCAACCGCTGAGCCACGCCCGGCTGGGCGAGTGAATCAAATTGTAATGGTGAATTTCATTTTCAGCTTCCTTTGTGTGATATTAAAATATAATATTTGCTTAGAAAGTGTAGCTTTATTCTTATCCAATCAGAATTTGTGAATAGAACCACATACTGATTTCAGTCTTTTCTCTATACCAATGATTTTCAACCAGTGTGCTGCAAGAATTTTTTAAAATATGTTTTTATTGACTTTAGAGAGAGGAAGGGAGAGGGAGAGAAAGATAGAAACAAAAATGATGAGAGAGAGTCATTGATCTGCTGCCTCCTGCACACCCCCTACTGGGGATCGAGCCCAAAACCCAGGTATGTGCCCTGACTGGGAATCAAACTGTGACCTCCCAGTTCATAGGTTGACGCTCAACCACTGAGCCACGCCTGCTGGGCCCAAAAGAATTTTTAAAACATGCAATACCTGTCTGTTTAGTCAGGGGCACTGACGTCTTTTCCCTTAGATTGTCAAAGAAAAAAATGCAACAGCCAATACAACAATAGCTGTCTGGTGTGAATACCCTGTCTTGAACCATAAATATATAGGTCATGCAGTAGAGTTGCATCTTATTGGTCATGTTTCATAATAAGTTTGCTTCTGATTGGTTAATTCTTATTACCAGAAATCTTTATATATAAGTATGTGCACCTGATTTTTAAAAACATGTTTTTATTGATTTTAGAGAGAGGAAGAAAGGGGGAGAGAGGGGGAAACATCGATGAGAGAGAAACATCACATTGATTGACTGCCTCCTGCACCCCCCCCCCCCC